GATTATGTTGATAGCAATATGATAGTATTACTAATGATAATTTTTTTTATTATGATTACAACAAATTAATAATGATAATAATAATAATAATGTTAAGGATAATGGTAATGATAATAATGTTAAACATAAATGATGATAATGATGATGATATTGATGGTGATGATGAGGATAATAAACCTAATGAAGATGGTGTAAAATGGTAATGACATTATTAGCATGAGGATGTCAATAGTAGTAATGGTAATGATAATGATAATGATACTAATGATAAATTTATTGATTGCGATGATGATGAAGACGATGACTTTAACTATTAACGATGACGATAATGATAATGACGGAGGACATAGTCGATTCACTTGGTTATACTGTATGCATACGAGTGCATTTGGACTTTTAATTTAAGGCAACCATTGACAGAAAATAATGTTTTATGAACTAGATATCTTGTTAAATTTATGTGAAGAGGAATCGAAGTAACTATTTAATACAGGAATAAATGATACCAGCATAAATCATAAAAATGGGTCACGTTTGAGACGATAAAAGGAAAAGTATTATTTAACTAGGGCGGATCCAGAAATGTCCAAAAGGGGGAGCCGGTCGAGAGTCAAAACTACCCATGGAGAGGGAGTGTTCCGGGGGCATGGCCCGGGACATTTTTTGTTTTCTAGACGGGCCGGAAATAACCTCTGAGGCGTTTTAGGCGATTAATTTCTTTTTCCTTTTTTTTTCTTTTTTGTTTTTTTTAACTTTCGAAAAGTCCCGGCCATTCTAAATCCGTCCCTGTTTAAGGGGGGGGGGGGCGGAGAGTGTAGTGGTTCCATGAAAGCCAGAACTCAAAGAAACCTTGTGAAACCCAGGTGAATATCTCTTGTGAGTGTCATGGTAAGCTCTCTGTAGCCGATGCACTCAACCATGTAAAAAAAAAATATAATTTCATTATCATTTTCCTGCAAGGGTAAGAGTTTTTTCGTCAAACCAATAAACCCCTTTCTATTCTATTCTATTCATATTTATTTATATAGCGCCTTTCTTTGCAGATACGAAGCGCTTCTGTCCCTGGTCATTGGATCCACATGCATAAGTTATTGCTGTTATTGCAGGAGCAAGCAACCCCACCAGGTACCCATTTATACTGCTGGGTGGAGAGAAGCAATGCAGATAAAGTGCCTTGCTCAAGGACACAAGCGAAATGCAGAGCAAGGGATTGAAACCCCGACCTGAATGTTGGGAAACCAAACCTTTCACGCTGCGCCAAACCGCTTCTACCTTGGTTATGGGCCTCAGTTATAATAAGGATCGTGAATTATCAGTAGAGTTCGTTATGTTCTTTTATGTGGTGATACATTTTAATGTGGTACCGTACTGTTAATTTTATATGACGAAAATCAGGCTCTTTAGAAGCAGCTACTTGAATCATATTTGTACAAAAGCGGTTTCTTCGCCCTCTCAAAAAAAAAAATTAAATTAATTAGCTTTTTTTTTTTATCGTGATTATGATTATGCTCTATTCTATTAAAAAAAACTTCGCGAATTATCAATACATAAATGCGAAACACATGTCTTGATTCACAGATGTTCTATTGTAATTTGCAAGGTTATCAATAGTTTATTCCTTAACTGACCTGTTCAAAACAAATATACGAATGATGCATTAGGCGCATGAAATAATGTCAATAATAAGCTTTTTGATTCGTCAGTGATTTTAGCAAAGAAAATATGGGCGCCAGTCTGCCTTTGGGAAATCTTCTGAGGCTCTACCAATATGAGTTAAATCGCCCAGGTTGGCAATTGTTGTTCCAAGTCTCATCATATCGCAATACATTTTTATCGCTGCTTAAATACCTTATTGTAAATACTATTTTATTATTCTTGTACTGTGTATGTGTGTGCGAGATACATTTTAAAGCTATTGGTAAGAGCGTGCGTCTCTTTTCTGTGTGTTTGTAGCTGTGTTTTAGGAAGAGTTGGGGGGAATTGGGTAGTAATTTCGTTGTTTGTCGTTAAATTGTATTTATTATAACACTAAATGTCAGTACAGTACTGTACATCCCTTTTATGGCCCTTAAATTTGTAGTACTGTATTTTCGCGATCTGTATTTAACTTTCAGTAGAATTTTATTAGAATATCTGCAATCAATTTATCACAACATTTTCCCTAGCAAATTATTAACAAAAATATATTAGGGGAAAAAAAGCACACAGTTGTACAAATAAGGACACTAAATCAGGAAGACAATAATATGAATAACTGTTTAATTGAACTTTGTAGGATTTTCCTCATATTTAACTACAGATGACATGTTAAGGTGCACAAACGCCTTGACAAATGTCTCTTTCAAGCGAGGCGTGCTTTTAGTACAGCCGTATAGGTGGAAATGTGGCGAATTGAACCAACGATTGCCCAGCAGTACTAACACAGTGAATACTACCAAAGCACATCCATACGAAAATGGTGTAAATTAAATTATCAATCATCAATCAATCAATCAATCAATCAATTAATCAATCAATCGATTAACCAATCACTGGATTGCTAAACAGACTATGCACTAGTAGTATTAATCAAAGGACAAAGTAAAGCAGCACCAATAAGCCTATATATTACCAAAATCGGAGAATGGTGCATTTTAATTGTGCCGGTCTGCCAAAATGGATCCAGGATTTTAACGTATACAAAACGCTTTGAAATACGCAAGTTTTTTTCTTCGAACCAAAGACTCTACCGACGCTGCACTGTAGCTATTTTCCTAGATCTAATATCAATCATTAAGTGCAACAATCGATCAGTTAATAGCTTATAATTATGTTAATTAGTCAGTTTACGACTAAAGTCATTAGTCTGACCAGTCTCAGTATAGTACAACCACAACATCTTTTGAATTAATTGTCGATAGGTAGACTTACCAGACCTATTTTATTATTCTGAAAGTAGTCTAGATGCTGCAATTTAATTTTAATTCACTGTAAAATAAAAGAGTGATCCAATACCCCTCTGACGTCATCACGCCAGATTAATTCGCTGTGGTACGGTAGTCGTCATCGTCTACTATTAAATATATCCATGTGTTTAAAATCTTCGTTAAACAAGAGTGTTCGATAAGTACATAATGTGAAATATAAACCTAAATATCAAGAAGAAGGGGTTACATCACTCAGTGTAACATCATCATCTACTGCATAGGCCTATTTTGATTCGTTTTTATGGATATATATATATATATATATCCGTTGTTTTTGGCGAATTTTGAGTGGGGATTTAATGGGAAAGAAACGAATAATCTGTAATCTGAATTTGATGTGTTCCCACAGGTGCCTCTGATTGCTATTGCTATTAAATATGTCGACAGATCTTTAGAAATTATGAATATCAAACAGTCGCCATAACATTACAAACTACAACAGTAACGATTTGTTTTTTTAATGGTTCAGTATACATATAAAATATAAGACATACAATTTCATATTTAAGTATAGCATAGCATAGATTATAATATAGCATAGAAAATGTAACACAGTAAGAGACGCATTTTCGAATGATCCAATATTGTATAAAAACTTACCTAGTTTTAATGATGGATTTTGAGAGACAGTGTGTTGTAGGAACAAACACAGAATCCATAGACCTATATTGCACGTTTTTCTCGACTTCAGCATGATGAACACACTACCTTTTATTCATGTATGATCCAAACAAAACTGCAACAGACGTTGTGTATTTCGTCAGACTCGTAGGATGCCAGTAGATACCATGAATTATCAACAGATCGTAAGCTAGGCCGAAATCGCTACTGTGAGGTCAATTGTACATTCCAGCGGACCGGCGGCTCACTGCTGACTCGCGACTAACACACGCGAGCCAATCGCAGATGAGATGAGATGTTGCTAGCGATTGTATGGCATGCGACGCCACAGCGTGTGCGGGGGAACTGTGACATCAACAACTGTGGATGGAAAACATTAGAACGATATTGGTGACAATTGTCAAGGGTGCCGTTGCAGGGACCAACGGTGATTCTGACACATTTCACATCATCCTAAATACACATACAATTGAATCAGCAAAATTATTTAACGAATTGTAAGGGGCATACGTAATTACCAACTTAAGCATCAAGTTATATTAATAAGACCAGGTGCAACCATTTACTGTACTTTATGACATACCAAAACAATAAAGAGCATTGAATTAAAAAATTACGAATATGAATACTTACACTTAAATATAAAGTAGAAAAAAATGATGTGCATTTGACCCCGTGTAGCCTATACTTAGTGGTTAACATTATAATTTATTAGATCCTACCCCAAAATGCTTAGATTGGGAATCGACCTGATGTCTTAGGATCCGGACCATCATACCCCGGGATGCAAAGTTCGATTGTAATTAATGATCTGATATGATCCGATAGCATTATCATAAATTGAACTGATTTCTAGTTTATGATATTTTAATGAAATAGGCTAAAATGTGAAAAAGTATCTAGGTACGGTAGGCCTATTATGCTATATAGTTCTTTTTTATTCGTAGGCTAGGCGTATTTGATTATCATGGATCTGAAATTTGGAAATAAAAGATGATTGATGATATGGTGCTTACTGCTTGTGATTAAGCCTGGTCTTGCTCTGATTATGCATAGGCCTATTCACCTAATGGTTCATGGAGCTCGGTTACTAGATATCTTCGTGGTTATTCATTTGAATACTTTTCTGACTCGCAATTAACTGATAACATCGCAAATTTCACTTGATATATTAACATCCTGAAACGTGTCAATTAAACAGCCATATTGTCTCACATTAAGGCATTTTTACATCATTATGTGCCTCGGGGTATGTTTCATCAGTTTTAGAATTGACGTTACTTATCACATATATCACATAACAAAATAATTCATATCATAATCATCAGAAAATATCCTAATGCCCAATATAATGTTACAGATACTTATTACTGATATCGACTTAACAATAATAGAAAAAAAAAGGCGTGAATATTATGATTATTTAAGCAAAGTCCCAGAAAAATATTGCGATCCGGTTCCCAAGCACTCGCTTTTATGTCACATTTAATACAGATACATCAGAAAACGTGACTTTCTGTCAACTGACCACTGCTACACCGGAAGATAATCCCTCACTATTTTCTGTAAGTCATGTTTATCACAGAGATTCGTTCACGGACCAACGACTGTAGGTCCTCCTGAGATAATTGAACAACGTGGCTAACCTAAGGATCTAGTTCTGACACAAATATTGACAGTTGCGTATTTTTAGCCGGGGTACGCATTACTATCATGGTAATCGATTTGCTATTTCTCCAGTAAGCCTATCGGGCAATCTCTCCCCAATATTTTATAGTCGAGCTTTCTGCCAATTACCATGACGTGACGGTAATGCACCCGCTAAGTCCTGTCCCTCTATACCTAAACCGTTTAAGACGATCGTCATAATATGACGATCTGAAACCAGATCCGTATGATGATACCAATAGATATGACACGAGCATAATGCAATTGGAGCTTATGCTTTAAGTGTATGGATGAGTATGGCTATAAGTATCCGGCTAATGAAGCCGTGTTCAACTGGGTACAATATATTTTTTATAGGTATATTTATTACAAAACTATTTTAAAAACTCCTTTTTAATTCTTCAGCATTTTATTCATTGTTTTTTACAGATAGCGGTTTCCAGAGAATTCACTCTGGTGTTGGGCTTCCAGCTTATTATTCTCTCATGACACGCCGCTAACATGTCTTTTTTGACTTCGTGTTTGTGTTTTATATATTTTACTAGGAAGATGTGGATGTTTCGAATTTGTAATGAATAATAAATAAATAAATATAGTGCATTGACTTTACACGTGACAAATCAGATATTTATTCATTTTTATTTATATTAAAACTAGCACACATACAAATAAAATATTTAAAAATAATTATACTTTCCAGATAAGATTGTAGTAAAACCAAAATTGCGTCATTGGCATATAATAAACACTAAAAGATACAAATATTGAGAGTAAAATTACAAAAGAGAAAAATAAGATTTTTAAAATGGAGATTCAAAAGTGTTGGGCAACCTTATAAGTCATATACGTTTTGTATTTATGTTTATACGTCCACCTTTCACTCAGTATAAAATAGTGCTCTGATCATAAAGGCATTTAGCAACAAAAATCTACATAAATCAAATAAAAAACTGACGTAAATATCTTTTGTGACCTCAAATGTATAGCTCAGTTTAATAAATGTGAGTTGATGCTTCTTCTTTGTGTATAAAAAAAAAAAAAAAAAAAAAAAAAAAAAAAAAAAAAAAAAACCAGCTAAGCGCTTATTAAGACGCGTTTTCCCCTGACGACGGTTAGGGAATGGTTTGTTAGATGGCGCCCTATTCATTTTGATAGAAAACCAGCACCATACGACGTGAAAAATTGCAATAGGCGTAGGTTTATTACCTCAACATTATAAATAAGTAACTACTGAGTAACACTACTACATTTCTACTTTTTTCTGCTTTAAGATATGCTTTCAAATAAACTTAAAATATAATTGTTTTATTTCATATTAAATAAGCTGTTCCCTTTTAACTAAAATATACACTTGAATAATATAATTGGTAGTCTTTTACACATCAATAAGTTTCAGATTTTACTAAGTCTAAAATGAATAGTTCATTTAAAAGGATTTTCATTGGTTTACAGATCTACTGGCCTATTATTATTATTATTATTATTTTTATTATTATCATTATTATTATTATTATTATTATTATTATTATTATTATTATTATTATTATTATTATTATTATTATTATTATTTTATATTTTCTACCAGCCAAGTGGAATTTAATAACCTGACGCTAAAAAATATAATAACTAATTCATTTTTATTTTTATAGTAGGCATATATATCTTTATATTATAGAGCCTTCTCCGAACTACAGTGGCTGATGAATGAAATAGAGATAGGTAAATGGTTTGCATGTAATGTAACACGCTACTAAGTTTACCTACTATAATAGGCAATTTTCACCGCACGACGTTAACCTTAACGGATGACGTCATAACTTATTCATCTTGCGTTGCGGAGTACGTTAATTCAGGATTTTACGTGCTCGACTTACGTTAGTTACGGGTTTGCGCATGCGATTCCGATTTGTTGACAAAAGAGGCGAAGCTATCGCGCTGCATGTTGGGTGCTAACGTTAAAGTTAAGGTTAACGTCGTGTGGCGAAAACTACCTAATAATTGGCTATAGAACGTAAATAATGCGTAAAACGTATTTCAGAGAAGTGAACGTTAGAAGAACTTAGATACGGATCAGATGAATACTCTTTATCTATCGGCATTATGTCGAACATTGTGGATTTGTATAACTATGGTACTATTGCGGACATCAAACCGACAAAACTGCTCATATACAAATAAACCATGACTTTACGAGAAATGCTATAATCTTGCAAAAAATAAATTGAGAATTCTGTCTTTGATTAAAGAGGGCAATGTTCGTATATACGTTCGTTACTAAAATGTAAGTTTTAATCGAATTGGAGTTCCAATAATTACATTATGGTTTATATTTCTGTATAAAAAAATCATGCCTCGATGTATACCTTAACTGGTGTCGACCGGTGTCTCTTGCTCTATTCATTACGTTTGATTCTCTTAATTGTAATTTATTTTTCAATTTTTTTTCTCTGATTCTTGGAAATGTTGTTTAAACTGAATTTTCATTGAATCTATCTAATTTTTCAATTTTAAATTCATAAGGTAGATTGAGTATCGCTAGGCCTTAGGCATACACATGACACACTATTAATATAACAAATGAGTGTATGTTTTTTTTTTTCTAATTCCTTAGGTGAAAAGGTTTTCGTATACTGTCAAATAGCTAAATACGTTAATGCAAATGTGGGTTGAATCGTCCAAAAAGAGCAAAAAGATCATCGATACATTGTCAACTGAATTTTCCTAATAGAGTCCGTGAGGAAAACGTATTAAGTTCTTGCTACGGTTTAATAGATGACTGCAATAAAAGTTCCAATATCTGAGCCTCGTAATGACACTTTTATGATGCACCACATTATATGGACCCCTGAATAAAGTATGACCATGGTACGCTGGGAAGGTCATCATTTATAAATCAATGACATTTTTATGATGACCTTCTAGTGTACACTGGAAGGGTCATCCTTTATAAATATGGTTGAAAAACCCGTAAATTTAAGAAAATAATGAAGAAGGAACAGCTGTAAATTTACTTAAATAACTCTCTAATGCGATAAATAAGATGTATCTACGCACTGCATATAACATTGTCTAAATGTGTTTAGTCGTGAGACAAAATACTGTGCTTTCAGTCACGGGATTTGAATCCAAAATCCTGGAATTGAAAAAAAAACGGGTTTTGCAACCAAATATAAAGGATGACCTTCCCAGCGTACCATAGGCCATACTCCATTCAGTAAAATGGTGCATCACAAAAGTCTCATTACGAGGCTCCGATATGGGAGCTGGATGTCCGTCGTGAGACAAAATACTATGCTTTCATAGGATTCGAAACCAGAATTATGGAATTGAAACCAAGCATCTTAAAGCACTGAGCTACATCACCACTATAAGTCACTATAGGCCTACACTTATATGTCAAAATAGTTATTGACGTACATGGTGATGTAGATTAATTGCCATAGTTTTGTTTCACAACTTTGAGCGTATGCCCCTATCGTACTTGTTTTACCACTCTACACTCAATTCTGTTTCCCATCGAGTCGTGTTGTGCCATTTGGCAGCGCGGATGTTGCCAACTGTTAACGTAAAATGGGTAACGTCGATTAATTTTCACATATTTTATCATCATATCTAACAATATGCACTTTTTCCATTTGTGTGCCTCCAAACCAAAGATCTTATAAACACAAGAAAAGTAATCAGTTTTGGGA